CTTGCTCAGGGATTGCTGAAGGCATGCCGTTTGGACTGAATGTGCATGATAGGGCAAGAGAGGAGGACAACCCAGCTTTCCGCATGACGCGGAGACCACTCCACCCAGCAAAGTCAACATGATTCCCTCCAGTGACGATAACTCGTGCTGGCAATCAAACAGACAAGATATTGCACATCGAGGCCTCCTCAGATTCGCACTAAACTCCAGTCACAAGCAGGGGCATTTAGGACCAACATCGTACATGCTGGTGGGTTCACGCTCCTATGCATTCGTCATGGACGGAGGTTGGATCTGGTGTTGCTGCCTGCTTTTAAGGCAGTGCATTTGATCGAGCCAACCACACGACAATGTAAACAGCACTCCTCTGCTACGAGCCCCTTCCGATTCCATCGTCAGCCTGGGTCGTCTCAACACTCACATGCCACATTTGTCGCACTTCAAAAGGTTTTGTCCACCCACATGAAGTGAGCGCTTTCGAGCCACCATTCACGTCTCCACCGAAACGACGTACCTCGGTGGTTGGCATTGGTAAGGTGGATCATGTTTGCTCCACAAAGCATGCCACATGTGGAAGTGGAGTACAACTGGTTGACCCAATGGTCAGTACTGTTGCGACAACTATCGGTCCATGGGGTGACAAACGACACTACTTCACTTGCAAATCCACCTCACAACTTCATGGTGAGGAAGGTAGCCAGTACATTGCCACTGACTTCGCGTTGGCACAGAGTCTACCGATGCCTCGTCAAGTGAATCCCCAGCTTGGCGATTCCCCTCCACTGTGTGGAGGCCACAGGAATTGTGAGTTGTGCGACGCCATGGAAGGCTAAGTTGGTTCCATTGCAGGAGGGTGGTGAGGCGTGTTTTACTGCTGAATTGTCAGTCCGTAAATGTGCAAAGGATGCATCTGGGCATTGTAGAGGAGAAAATTTGGTGCTTCTTGCAACTTATGTCCACTCACTCACTCACTCACTCACTCACGACAGTGAAACGTATTGAAATATGGATGAGGAAAACTAAGTAAACGCGACGAAACAGAGGCAACTTAAACTAAACAGATGAGTGAGGCAGGGCTTCCACGCTTTCTGGGATGTCTTAAGTGTGGTGGAAGGCACAGGGACTAGTCACCTGAACGAATGCAAGGGAGACTCAGCCACTGCTTAGCACAACCAAAGTGCCTTCTGACGATGCCGAATTACACAAGCGCCTTCCGCTTTACAACACATGTCCTCCCAAACCTTCTTGCTTCGACTCCTTAGTGGAGGTGTTTGGGGTGAGAATAGATGCGCTGCAATATGCTCCAACTTTCGTGTGTGGTTGCGCGTCTGAGTTGGCGGATCGACCGTGCTGCCACCAGCGGTGGTGAGGCCGGACTGTGAGCCATGTAGGAACCTTCAATCGCCTCCTGCTGGATGAATGGGTGCCTGTTCTACCCAAATTCGTGTCGTGCTCAGATAGCAGCTCTGCAATGTTCCATGAGCTCCTTGTGTTGGCGCACCCCACAATTCACTCCCATTTATCAAGCATCTCTTTGCCTCCTCCATTGTTAAGTCACCATTGTGGCGACTAGCAATGCCGTCTTCGCTCTCCAACATTGTGGTCGGGCGAATGGCATGCGCACACTTCTTGCAATCGACCCAGACCCCCTGCATTAAGGCATTCACTTTGCGATCAACCAAAGCGACACCAAGAATGCCACCACGTGGCCAGAGATGAGTCAGTTAGCGGCAATGCGAAGGTGCAGCTAGCCAGTATGGCTTGTTGTACTGCCCATTAGCAACTTGTCAGACGGCGCAATCGTGCGCTCCGTTTCCTACCCATGATTTCGCATTCATTGTTGCAGGGAAGACACAAAGTTGACAAATAATTTTCATTGGAGTGATTGTTCAAATGGTGGGAGGTGGGAAATAAGTCGAGCCCGGTTGTGGGGAAGGAGATGCGCCTCTCCGACGCGAACTAAGACTACTTCATTTCCGACGCATCTCCATCCCCCTCCTCCTCCCGCCCTTCCAGTTCCCGTTCCCCCCTTTCGTCCCTTCCTCCTATCATTGCTACTGATGGCACTGTATTCACCGTGCCAAATAAAGCGCCTCACAGTAATCATGCCGCTTATACGCAGTCAACATGAAGAGGAGGGATTGAGAAGACAATCCTACCGTGTTGGCCGCGATGGACGACTCCGTTCGTTTGACTTGGTCTGACAGATCACCTCATGCAAACACACACATGCTCACACCGATGTGGATGGGACGTTTTTGATTTTTGCAACAACTTATTTTCAGCACAAAATACAGTGGTCTCGTAGCCCGCGTGCTGCGTTTCGTTGAGGCATGTCACAAACGCCAGTACGCATTGGGACGAGCATTTCAGTGCTTGCCACCGTCAGTACTGCATACGTCATTTGCTCATTTGTGCGTCCGAGTTTGGAGATACTAGACTTGGTTCAAGCCAAGTCGACACACCTGTCCACCTCTCTGTCCGCCTGTTGTGCTCCAACCTCAAACATCGAAACCGGTCACAGGGAACTGGGCCACCTCTCAAGTGGGTCTATCGTGCTCTCTGCTGAGGCGGACTGGAGAACGCACTTAATATCTCGACTCCGTCAAACAGTGAATGCTTGCTCACCCCACGATACAGCCAACAGTCATGACAGTATTCCTGCATGCGCATTATATTGGCCAAGTTGCCACAGCAAACTTCATTCATTTAGGCCAGTAGGAGATGTGCAAATGCGGATGGCAATTGCCCGACCGACTACTGCACCTACCCTTGGGCGTGGAATCTCTTATCGTCACGCAATGAGATTTTGGGGGCGAATTCTCGGTGAGCAAGAAGGACCGAGGCAGAATAGACCCCTGAATGTGGGCCCCCTCCTTCCGGCCATTCGAGGTGCGGGATATTGGGTGGGGTGAATTCGGCACCTCACTCAACAGCATTCTCCCAATGAGGCTAAAACTTGTGCCCACAACGATGCACGGACGAGAGTTTCCGTCAACATCTGCATCGGTTCGGGCCACCAATTGCTGAAACCAGGCTTCCATTCAAGATGCCACAATATTTCGTGAACCAGTGGCACGATTGCGGAGCCTCCACCAACGTCGTGCAGATGTCTGCATTTCCAGTAACACGAACACAAAGCCAACTTTCGATGTGCCCTTTGTTTGGGATGTCGACATCTTGTGAAAATGAGGCAACAACATCTCTGAACTCTGCAAAGTCCAATTAATGCACTCACCTCAGTTCCTTGCTCTGCTGGGATTGTAGCAGACTTCTCTTCCCACGCTTCGAGGAGTGATGCAGCATATACTGCTGGCAAATATCAGCAGTTCCACTGGAAGAACTCACGAAAGCACATCGCCCTCACTGCCGCAAGGCAAGGACCAATGTTGGTTGGTGCTGTTAAGGAGGATGGCTCATTGAGAAGCAATTGCATTCCTTCGTCTGTTCGGAGACATATGAGGAACTTCCAGTAGGTGTGAGGAGGAGCACCTTCGGCAGCAACAACGACTGCGCAGACAAACGCGTCAACTGCAACATAATGACAACGTGATCCTCCTGTCACTCCACTCACACATCACACTGAATCCGATCCTTGTTGTTTCCAAGACGTCACCTTCAACTTTTGTGCTCAATTCTATCAAACGAGTACGAAGCTTAGCCTAGAGGTGGTCTCCACCTGCGTACATGGGCAAGCGTAAACCCATCCGAGGTGGCCCTTTGTCCCTCTCTCCTCCAAAGGTTGCACTGCATTGCATGTGCTTTGCCACATCACCAACCGGACTGTCAACACCACATTAGGGCATGCACGAATGCGTGACAGGCTTGAGTGCACTAACTTGGCAAAGTCAGGCATTCCAAGCTGGCACAGAGATGTGCACGTCGATTGTCACAAACCGCTCAGGCCAAGCCTTGCGTGCCACTGCTAAACCACATGCATTAACGGCGTCAGATTGGAGTAAGTGGCTCCAACTGCAAGTGCAGTTTGGTGTAGCAGCGAAGTTTTCCCCAATCATGCAATGGTGCAATCGTCGGCCTGACAGAAGTAGAAGTGTAGCACCGGATCGTGGTGTCACACGAATTCCGTGGGAACAGAAGTAGGCGCATGGAAAGGGACACACAATGCTGGCGTGGGTGGTGAAGACAACGCAGCCTTCCAAGTCCGCAGTCAACACCGACGGTACAGGGAATCAAGACGACGTATCGCAGGAGTGGCGTGAGACCGGCAACCGGTCCGGTCCTTCACGATTCGGATGGAAGTGACCACGTCGAAGTGCCAAATCACCCCCTACTTCATGTCATCAGCAGATACGCGGATCGGTCGACGGTGTTTGGGCATGCAAACCTGTCGACAACACCACCAATTCGCGCACATTTTCTTGCTACGAAGAAGAAATGGCTTCCCTATCTCGTGGAGGTGATTGGTGTGAGGGGGTGAGGAAGTGGTCAACAAATGACACTGAGTGACATCCTCTCCAATGCTTGCTCCTCCGATTCGGTGCCTGATGAGCTCGGGAGGTGCAAGGTGCTCTGTCGCCTTAGCCCGACAATAGTAGCCCACATCGTCCCTGCCGCACACGTCCACTTTCGCAGCACTTTCACCCCACCCAAGGCGCATTGCCACACGACCATTAGCTCAATTGACAGCTTTCGCTCCACTTGTTCACTATTACAAGTCACGTGCTTCAACTCATCCGAAGTGGACATTCGCCTTTCCAATGCCTCCAAACAAAGCACATTTATGTGTTTCACCATGCCACTACTCTGTTTGCTCTAACATCAACACAGCCTTGTAATGCGCTTTTTGTGTGCTTGACTGTAGGTTTCTGTCAAAATCACGGTCAGTTGAGTGGCCAGAGTGAGTTCGCAGAGTGACTAGTCTCTGAGCCATGATGCCGCCTCCGCATCCCCTCTCTTTACTAAAGCACACACATGTTCTGTCCACCCTCTTTGTGCTCTCTTTTGTCCTTGATGTGGTCTGGTAACGCAGCAGCAGGGCCACCAACTTGCAGAAATGCTCCTGGAGACCTGTCATCATTGAGTGTCTTCGCAAGCCAATGTGTATTCCAGCCAACTCAACCCTGCACACCACAACCCACTCGACATACGACACTCAAGTTGTCTCTGCGTTTCAGTAACAAGCGTCTGCAATGCATGCAAATGACGCATAAGCTGAGGATCGCATTCACCATGACTGATGCACACCTCTCTACCACCACCACCACCACCACCACCACCACCACCACCACCACCACCACC